GTTAAAAAAAAATTAAAGTAACCTAAAAGGAACTATCTAGGAGGGAAAGATTCTTAGCAGCTGGCTCGGGATGTTGTCCCTCCTAATTTTTTTGTTCGTTTCTTTGTTTTTATGGTAGCAAAGGAAGGTACACTCAGATAAGGGAGAAGGCAGCAGGTGACCTGCTCCAGTCACCTCTGACAGTCACCGGACTTCCAGCTAATCAAACTGAACAGATGTTCTTGGAGCAAGAGACTTTATGGATTCCTTTTGCAAAATATCTGTAGTCAGATCCTGCATCTGTGGCCTTAGGTGATAGGGTTTCTTTCTTTCCTTTTTTTCAAAGATTCAATTTATTCATTTTTAGATAGTGTGCATGAGTGGGGAGGAAGGACAGAGGGAGACAGAGAGAGAATCCTAAGCAGACTGCGTGCTAAGCCCAAAGCCTGATGTGGGGTGAGACCTCACCACCCTGAGATCAAGACTTGAGCTGAAACCAAAAGTTGGGTGCTGAATGGACTGAGCCACCTTGGTGCCATGTAATAGGGCTTTTTGAAGATGATAACATAGGATTCCCATCTAGGATATGCTGATCAAGATGACTTTTTCTAAAACTGTTTAAGTGAAATATGTGATTATTCATAATTCAAGACTCACAAGATGTTGTAAAATAATAGATGGGAGAGTCCCCATGTGCCCTCACCCCCAGAGATAATATCTTCCATAATCAAAGGGTGTCCATGAAACTAGGAACTGGCTTCTCTTGATCCCATTAACACCCGTCTGGACCTTACTTGGATTACAGTGGAGATATTTTTTTTTTCTTTTCACAAATACATGGAAATGCTTTAAATGCTCTATGGTGCATTCTCTGTGAAATCTGAGGTATTTAGGGCTGAAGGTGTTTATGCCGTACAGGAACATAGTATCGAGATGTCACCCTGGGGTCTAACCTCCTCCTCTCTCCTGCTTCTCAATCTATGTGGGTTCCTCTGACGTTGCCCACATTTGCAAAAGGACCTCCGTTGGTTTAGGCAAGAGATATTCTGCTGCTCCTTCCATTAAATGGATCCGTCCATTGTCATATCCATGAATTCAGTCATCCGCACATTTATCCAACTAACATATGCCCAGGGATTAATCACACACGTATGGAAAACATGAGCCTACTGCCACAAGTTACAGTCCAATCCCAACATGGACCTCCCCCCCCCCAAAATGGCGGTCTCTGGTACTTTGGAAGTTGGTGTGTTGACTGGAGCATTTTTATCACGGCTAAACTTACAGCCGTGATTTTTCCCGTGATTCTCTAAGTAAGAGCGTTTCTCACACCCTGGGCATTTCTAGTTCTTGTTGGTCCTTCATAGTTCTAGTTGGTCCTCCCAGTGCCATGGGTAGTCTTTGGTGACTTGATATCCTAGGTGGACTTCCATTCCCCAATATTACAGACGTGGTATAGAGAATCTGCCTCAGAAGGTGTGCAACCCCATAGCATCTCTTTTCAGATGACATTTCTTCAGCTGCATGATTGCGGAAACTTATTCAGATATAGGTTTTGCACATGTCTAACTTTGGAATAATGATAACGTGGGAGTGGGAATATCAGCCCTTTTCTCTTTCGCCCTATAGCAGTAGATTTGTCCCTAGTCCCCATAGTCTGGTCTAGGATCCTTTTCCCATAGGGTATGTTCTGTCATTCAGTCAATGGTTGATAGATGTCTGCGTCTACTACCCCAAAGAATAAGGAGTAGAAACAAATGCCAGTTATGTTTAATGGAGCTGACTTAAAAAAACCTATCTCATCCTAAATTTTTTTGGTGGGGGGGACGGTTAATGTTCTTGATATAATATACACACAACAAAATTCATGCATTTTAAGTGTCTCCATTGATGACTTGTTGACAAATGCATAGAGTTACGTAACCACCATCACATAGAACATTTATGAAGCTGACTTCATTTTATGCTGATGGAAAATTCATTTATTACCTCCACTGAGATGCCGTGTGATGATGGGCTTTGCAAATGTTATTTTATTTAAAGCCTGTTGGGTGTAACGACTTTTTTCTTTCCAGTTTTATTGAGATATTGTCGACAGCACTGTGTGAGTATAAGGTGTACAGCATGAGTAGACAGATACGTATTTTGAAATGATTACCTCAATGTAGTTGACATCCATCTCCTCATGTAGTTAAAAAAAGTTCTTTTTCTAGTTGTGAGGACTTCTAGGTTACTCTCTTAGCAGCTTTGACATATACCATATAGCAGTGTTAACTGTGGTCATCAGGTTGTATGGTAATGTCCCGGGACTTAGTTATCTTACAACTGGAACTTTGCACCTTTTGACCATCTTTATCCAATGTCTCTACTCCCGTACCCCACCTCCAATAACCCCAAATCTGAACACTTTTCTATGAGGTTTTTTTTTTTTTCCTTTTTAGAATCCACATATAAGTGAGATCATTCTCTCTTTGCCTTTGACTTATTTCACTCAGCATAGCATCCTCAAGGTCCGTCTATGTTATTGCAAATGTCAGGAACCAACCTTTCTTTCTTTTTTTCTTTCTTTTCTTTTCTTTCTTTCTTCTTTCTTTCTTTCTTTCTTTCTTTCTTTCTTTCTTTTTAATGGCTAATTGCTATTCCATTGTGTATCTTAACTGGGCAGAGGCAGATCCTGTGGCCATCCTTACCTGTAACAAAGCTAAAAAAAATGGACTTTTCTACTTTCTGAACGGAGTTATCGAGACCTGGGGGTATATACGGGTGAGGATCCCAACACCAAGTGGGGAAATCTCTGCCCATTTTCTTTCCACCACCTTTATGCCTTACAACCAACACCATTAATGTTGTCTTGTGTTCTGTGCATTTAAGCTGCCGAGCTGCAAATTGTAGAGTGCTAGTTTCATCCACCTTGAACGAGACTCCTGTCCTGTGTGGTCTGGTCACCTGACTGTGGCATCCAGGGACTCCCGCATCCCCCAGGGTAGCTCAGGCTCTGGCTGCCTGAGTGCATTAGTAACCCGTTTGGAGTTCTGTGTGCTTTCAGCTGACCCTGCTCAGACAGAGCTTGAAACACGTTGCCTACAGCATTGTTGTTTCCACGTTGCTGTGGAAAAATCTGAGTCATAGTTGGTGTTGTCTTTCACGTAGGCACAGGGAACGTCCAGATGCAGGTCAGACACTAGGGCTGAAAACGCAAAATACGATCTAGTAAATGCAACCCAGTGATGAAGGGGCTCCTTCCCCGGGGGTGGTGGAGAAAGGTGATCAGGAGGAATGGTACCGGAGAGAGAAAGGAAGGGGAAGCCACATGGCCTTCTTTCTACCACAAAAATGTGACAACATGGCAGGACTTTCAGGTTGCACTATGCTCTGTCCTGTCCCAGAGAGGGACCGTAGAAGCCCAAGGATTCATATGTTTGCCCCAGTTCACAGATCAAATAAAGGGCACACCTTTCAGCAGGTGCTAGTGTCCCCACTGTGTGCACCTAACCCAACGGAAACCTCCATGTCTGCCTAAAGACCCCTAAGCTTTGCCGGTTCATCTTTTTTATAGCCTCCCCCACCATAGCCGGCCCCACCCCACCTCCCTTTTGGGACTCGATTCCCCAGCATCTCACCCCACTTGACTGCCTTACCCTGTTTCAGTTCTGTGTTCACTTCCCAGTGACCTTCCAGTGAGCACACGCCTCATCATTTGCTGCTGCTTACACAACACTTGCTTTCCTGGGTTTTCACCGCTGCCTCTCTGCTCCTCCTAGGGTAAAATATTCATGATTGGAAACTCTGCCTAAAAGCCAAGGTTACTCATCATGGGCCCCGCCCCTCCCCGCCACCAAGGAGGCGAGGAGATTATTTCACAGCCCGGCAATTCTCATTTATAGAAAACGCTAAAACAAAATGTTTTTGCTTGAGTGTGACTCCATGCTCTTGCTCATGTTACCGTACGTAGGTCCAAACCCTGTGCAAGAAGAAAGGATGTCGGCCGCTGTGTGGTTGTGTTGGGAGGGAGGAGCGCGTCCTTTGTCTTCCCCACAGATCTTCCTGGTTCCTTTCTCCCTCTTAGTGAGGTTAATTGCCATTTTTCTAACCAGAGACCCTTCCTGTTCACTGTTTCCCATGCTTTCTTCCCTGGGAAAACCCCTTCCCGTGCCTCGTTGCTTAGACACAGGGTGATGGAGAACCCAGCTGACATGGATAAGCTCACTGGGCACCCGGGATCCCGACGCTCACACATACCGATTTCCATTTTTCTGCGCCTCTACTTTACCTTTGCTCTAGTCTCAGAAAGAATTCCTTTGATCTCATGTTTGCATTAAGTGGTTGCCCACAAGTATGGCAGGTGGACACCATGCCCCACACTGAGGCTCAGAGGAACAGGACAACCTGATGGTGGAGAAAGAAGGTTCATTTGGGTTGGAAATGTCCCACCAGGATACAAAAGAGTGTTGGATTTCCTTGCATAGTTGTATTTTAAAATTTCACCCCAATCTCAGCCCTCTCTCCCTTTATATCCTACCCAAGTAGCCATCTTTTCCCATATCATGTTGGTATCTATCCCATTTTCCAGTCCTTAGCAAATTCTAAAATAAAGACCAAGCACTTTGAGCAGGCATTAATTAACGTGTTCAAGAGCCTTCTTCATGAACGTCGCGTGCCTGATATCTTTGCCTTCTAGAAATCCCAAAGAGAAACACCACAACACGTCTTTACCACACTTCTGCATCCCACCTGTCGTGTATGAGTGTGTGCGTATGTGCATAGTCTCTACGATGGCCCATATGTAGAGGGGATGACCAGCTGTCCCTCCAATGCAAGAACATTTCCGAGGCAGGTATTTGTCAACCTGCCTTTGACATGTCTTTGTCAACGTGTGTGTCGTACATGCCCTCACCTGAAAGTTCCAGAATGGAGCTTCTTGGAAATACTCTCACCCGCCATATACCAGGGTTGGGAGCTGCAGAAGCTAATGGATTCTCTTAAGGTCCTGATGCAGCCTGGTGTGCTGTCTCCCCCTCCAGGCACTGGGACGTTTGGACGGGTGCAGCTGGTCAAGGACAAGACGGCCAAGCATTTCTTTGCTCTGAAGGTCATGAGCATCCCCGACGTCATCCGCCTAAAGCAGGAGCAACATGTACACAACGAGAAGTCGGTGCTGAAGGAAGTCAGCCACCCCTTCCTGGTCAAGCTGTGAGTCCCTCCCCACTGCCTTCTCTGGGTCCTCACCCTCTCTGAGATGCCAGGCCGGGGGTGGGTGCGTGGAGTGAGGTCACAGCTGGCTCTGCCTCAGCCTTGCTCCCATCCCGGGTGAGCAGTAGGAGTGTGGGTGGTCCCACCAGACACTCCATTCCCCTCATCCCCTTCTGGGTCACCGTCACCAGTTCAGCCTCATTCATGCGGGCCACTCCTTGGGTTTCTCGAGGACGACTGTATCTCCATTTAGACGCACCACAGATGTGTCCAGTTGAGGGTGCCCCGCACTGAACAAATAAATCCCAGTCCTCCCACGCTGTTTCCTAATACAGGATAAGACCATTCTGCACCCAGGTGCCAGATGGGAGGCCCAGAGAGGGCTCTCTTTCCCCATCCACGGTGTGGGTGCCTTCCAACCGGGGTCCATGTCTCCCCTCCGCCATCTTCTTCTCGGTCCTTCTCATTCCTACCCCACAGCTCCTGCCTGAGCTGGGGCCTCCTGTTTCTGCCCTGATGTTTGATACTGGCCTCTCACCTGTTATTGCCCTAGCATCCTTCCTTCCTTCCTTCCAAGACATTCTTCATCTTCCAGTTATGGTGATCCTCCCCAGATACCGGTCTGGTGACCTTCGTTGGTACCTACAGATCCACGGGGAATAGTGACCCCGGAATCTGACCCCAGCCACTTAAGGCTCATCGTGGACTGACCTCTAGGTTTACCTTCTGCTTGCTATCTCTTTCCCTCCACCCTGCTACCCATGGTCCCATCTCGGAAAGCCACCTGCAGTAGAAGGGGGCCGGTGGCCATCCTTGTGGTCGTTCCCTGTCTCGGGGGGGCCACCCCTCCCCTGTAGTGCCTCCTTTCTGTGTGTCTCCCCACCAAGCATCCCTCCCATTGGACCAACTCCTGTCTTTCTTCTCTGATACACCTGTCCTCACATAGAGACAGCCCTTGGTCACAGCTCTGGAACATCTCCCATGCACGCAGACTCTGAGAAGGATGTCTGTAAATGCACAGCTGCCCCAGCCCCCCATCCTCCAAGCCCAAAGCAGCGTGTTGCCCAGAGTGCCGACTCTGTTGCATATTTAATGAGGAGGAGAAACGAATAGGCTGAATTTTTTTTTGGTTTTACTTTCCTTTTATGGAGCTGCGGGTGATCTTGTGCCGATAAAGAAGGGTCAGGTGCGTCTCAGGGTTTCAAGTCCTGGAAACCGAAATAGCCAGGGATTCGGGGACTCAGCGTTGCTCACTCACCACGTGTGAATTCTCCCATCCGGTCCACAGTGGAACAGCCGTTAGAAAAACGAGTGTGTTAGATCTTCCTCTGGAATTAAGGAAAGCATCCAGTTATGTCTCTTGGAGGAATTAAAGTAGTGATTCTAGGGAGGATCATTAGCTCGCTAGGATTTTAAATAAATATCTTCTATGGGAGACCTGGACTCTGTTATGATATTGCCAGATTGCCTTCACGTGTCTGGGGCTTCCTTCCCAAGGCGGGGAGTCTCAAGCCAATCACTTCATGGTTGAGAAGACACAACGACCGTGTGTTGACACCTGATGGACTCTGGATGGGCTTTGTGATTCCAAAACGGAAGTGCCGTCACAGTCAAAGGTCGTCTTCTTATATGTCAAGTTCAGTGAAGGGTGTGGTTGAGGAGTAGGAATGTCTCATCATTAAATCAACATGGAATTTGAGGAACAATCTGATCGTCTTCTCAGAGGGGTTATCCTCACAGGTTTTGGCAAAATGTGGTAGGACCTCATTTAAAAATCTGTCTACCGGTCCTGGTCCGTTTTTGGTTTCTCCCCCACAGTACTGAGATACTGCACAAAACGGGGCACGTTGTCGTGTCTGCTGTCCTGAAATGCTCAGAATCTGGAGAAACTATTATCAACAACAGATCCTTTGAAGATGTAAAGTGATATGAAATGATATACATTTCCAGGTGACCGTTACCTAAAAATTATGGAAAATGAGTTTGTCCACTTGGGCTGCCATAACTCAGTACCATGGAGTAGGGGGCCTAAACAACACACATTTATTTCCCATAGTCCTGGAGGCTGGGAGTATGAGATCCAGGCAGGACTGAGGCTGATTTCCCCTGATGCCTCTCTCCTGGGTGTGTAGACCCTGTGTTCTCATTGTGTCCCTACATGGTCGTCCCTCCGTGCGTGTTTTGTCATCCCCTCTTCTTTTTCTTCTTTTTTTTAAGAAGATTTTAAGATTTTATTTTTTCATTTGAAAGAGAGACAGCACAAGCAGGGGAAGAGGCAAAGGGAGAGTCCAGTGGGATCATGATGTACCCTACTGACCTCATTATACCTTAATGCCCTCTTTAAAGACCCCATATCCAAATACGGTCCCATTCTGAGGTCCTGGAGTTAGGGCTTCAACATGTGAATTTGGGGGGAGGGGATATAATTCAGCTGTAACACCTACTTAGTGACTTGCCAAGAGTAGACCTCTAAGAGCACGTGGACCATATTATGATATTCTTCTAGCGCTTGCTTTTTTCTGTGCGTTCTCACTGGAGTGACCAGGTGTGTCTACACACTGGGTATGAGTTGAGCTAGTGAAATCAGGCTCTGGAAATTCTCTGAACGTAGCATGGAGAGCGTGCTGTGGATGGGATCCACGTTTCTGGATGGGAGCCACAGAGTGTCCAGGTCCACGTGATGAGGGACACGTACTAGTGGGGAAAGACCATCAGTGAAGAATGTATTTAGTCCCCCAGCTGTGCAGGTTGTCTTGTGAATGGAGGTCACCTCACCCAAATCCTGCTTCCCAAACTGTCTGAAAGCATGGAGCAGGTTTTGCTTGCATTTCTTGAGACCACGTGCAATGCTGTTGATTCTGGGTATCAAGCTGGTTATTTGGACTTTGAAGTTGGGGTTGAGTGACTTGGCAAGTCCGCCGGTGGCATTGTCCGAGCTCAGTATGGGAACCACTTCTCTAGTATTTTTGCGAAGATGTCAGGGGATTCGTTAAATGCACATTTGAGAACATGTTCTGTTTGGGGATATAGTCGTTCCAAAGGCCAGCTCAGCCCATGGCGATAATTTTAGAAGAGCTGAGTAACTTACTTTCTGGAGTGCAAAATCCAGATTTTGCACCCCAGACAGAGGCTTGGGGTCTGCCTGAACACCAGCCTCTGGGGTCTGCTCCTTGCCCTTTTGGGGGCTTAGAAATTGCTGGTGTCCTAGAGTCGTTTGACCCCAGAATAGGGTTTTCTGCCTTGACACCATTGACATCAGGGAACCAGATCGTTCTCTGTGGTGGCCTGCTCTGTGTAATGTAGGAGAGTTAACAGCCTACCTGCACTCCCTCAACTCAGGCCAGTAGCATGCCATGTACATGTAGAGAGGAACCTTCCCCAGACCCTCCTTCTCCGTCTCTCCTGTGAGCATGTGTCCTGCTTGCCTGTCTCCTGCTAGAACCCAAAGCCACAGAGTTCAGATCTCACTGTCTGCACAGAAAGGTGTCAGCACATGGCAGGTGTGCCAACTCAAGGATGCCAAGCGCAGGGATGGGCAGGGAACACCCTGGGTACAGTACACACCACGCTTCAGACAAGGAGAGCAAAGAGGTGGAGTTTCGGGAGCAGACTCCCGTGATTGTAGGGGCTCCCGGGTGTGAAATCCATGGGATTGGCCAAGTGATTGGAAACGAAGGTAAGAGCTGATGTTTCTGTCTTGAATCTGAACTCCGCAGAGCCACCTGGGAAGCTGCTGACTCAGGCACAGTTTTTATATAGCTGTGAAATCCAGAGGCAAAATACCCTCTTCCACGGGAAACCTCACATTTTTTTGTTCTTTTTTAAAATATTTTATTTATTGACAGAGGGAGCAACAGAGCACAAGTTGGGGAGGGAGGAAGAGGGAGTTGAAGAAGCAGACTCCCCACTGAGCAGGGAGTCTGACGTGGGGCTTGATCCTAGCACCCTGGGATCGTGACCTGAGCTGAAGGCAGACACTCAACCGACTGAGCTGCCTTGGCACCCATACTTTTTTTCTCTTAAAGCTGTCAGCTGATTAGACGAGGCCCACCCATCTTATGGAGAGTCATGTATTTCTCCTAATGTCAATTGACAGTACATGTTAATCACATCAGGAAAAAAAAAATGTCTACACAGCAACATCAAGATTCCTGTTAGATCATATGCCTGGGCACCAGGGCCTCTCGGAATTGATCCACTAAAGTAGCCATCACAAAGGGCAAAAGCAAGAAAGCCTGAGCAGAAGAGCAGAGCCATTCCCTCATTGGGCATTTGAAGTGCCCACTGTAGCAGACGGGTTGGGGGCTGCTAACCCAGAATGGATAAGGAAATAGGACACGTTACCTACAACCACAGTGTCCAGATCTTGAGCAACGCTGTGGCGAGAAACCCTGTTGCACAAGCCTCCCATCTCTGCCCTCCAGGGACCATGTTCTCGTGGAAGTCCATGTGGATTCCCAAGCCTTTGCTTACACTTTCGCAGGACTGGGGAGTTTTATCCTCTTCTGTCCTCCCGGAGGGTGATTCCTCCATCTTCCCTCCCTGGGCGGTGTCTTTCAGGCCCTCTTCCGTGTACCTCTGGGTGACAAGGGCTTATTCTTGTCACTGCCTTGTCTTGGACGTCTCGTGGTCATCTATGTTGACGCCCCAATCTATCGAACCCTCTGCACCGTGGGTTGTAGTGCCCCATTGACTCAGAGGGGCTGCAGGAGGTCAAGGACAGGTCCACCTGTCCCAGGAACTAACTTGCAACCCCCCACACCTCTGTCTGACGACCTCCCGTGTCCTGCTGTGTGTCTGCTTCCAGTCCCTCCCCCATCTCAGCCCTCTCTTATTTCTCCTTTCTCCTAACTGTGCCAGGTTGGTTTTTGTTTGTTTTTCCAAGATGAGAAAATAACCGCTTGTCTCCTGGATGCTTGTGACTGGTTGTTCCCATTATTCTGAAGGACGTAGGGTAGTGTTTCTTGACCAGCAGCTTGTTCCCCTTCAGTGTTTGCATG